CCAGATTGTAACCTAAAAACCAACGTTGGAACCTTACAACCCCATACTGTAACCTAAAAAGATCCCATATTGTAACCTTTAAAAACCCACCTTGCAACCTAATAAACCACAGCTTTGAACCTAAACAACTGTATAGTCCCCCTTAAGTAGATAGAATATGGGGTATATGGGGATCTTATTGTAACATACCCAAAGCCATATTCTATCTACTTAAGGGGGGACCATATGGACACCCTTGAAACTGCCAAGGCGGGCTCACCTTAGGAGCCGACTCTCCACTCTTCATCTCGATCATGGCAGGGGCTCGGGAGCTCAAGAAGTGGGAGATGGGGGATGGATCACTTTGGCTTAGTCTTTAGGGTTTGGAGTTGGCTCTACCTGGACCCCCAAACTAGGTAGAATTATAGCCCAGGACCCTTAAATGTAGCCCAAAAGGCCATTATTCTATATACATTTGGGGTTCAGGTAGGGTTCAGAGTCTTATGATTTCGGGGTGTGTAGGGGTTGAGGGTTAAGGGATTGGGGCCGAGCGCTTAGGCCTCGGCCTGCAAAGTTCAAGAACTGGTGGGATCCTATACAGGAGTCATGAATGTCATGGAGGTTGAATGGGAAGGGGGTTGGGGGATAAAGGAGTATAAATGGGTTTCTGCCTTATGTCGGTCCACCTTTGGTTTCACGAACAAGAAGCTTGGAGTAACATAGCAGGTGTGTGGTCAGGGGGTTGTAGACAGTTTAGCGCGGTTTTGGATTTGGATACGACAGAACTCAAGCTAGGATGCTACTTCAGACATTTCAGTGCTTCATGGCAGTGACCAGCCAGAGGGAGACAAAAGAGGCTAGAGGTTCAGCACAAGCTCAGGGTCTGGGGCTTAAGCTAGGACTTACGGTCTTTCACTCGTCTTGGGGCTCGGGGTCGGGATTTCATGATCTAATCTGGCCCACGAGAGACTGTACCAGCTATGCAACTCCAGGATCAGGGACATTATTTCATTGACTGTGTGAAGGCATTATTTTCAACAGGGAGAGCAGGGCTCTCCAACATGTCCCTAATCACTATGAGAAGCGTTTACTTCGTCATAAGGATGCTAGAGGTTTCGCCGGTTTTTTGTTCGATTATTGGCAATGCGCTAGCGGTGTGGCGTGCATGCACACATGTTGGGATTCGACCTGTTGTTGTCTTTCAATGTTCATCACCGGGCAAGTGGAAGATGTCAAGTAGGAGACAGCAAGAGCAAAAAGAGTGCTTAAGCCTCCAGACCGTTGAGACAAGTTGTCGCGTTTGGCCACGGTGTTGCCCAATGTGACAAGCCGTCCCCCAGGCTCTGCAGGTTTTACCATGCTTGATTACGCAGCAGCCGGAAGAGGACCACCGATCAAAACCGCATCCGTGAGAGCCATCTTGATAAACACACCTTCTACGGAAGCCCACCGAATCACAGCATTCACCTGGTAAACAAGCGCCTGAGTTTCAATACTCACCAATTTAGTATTAACATGAGCACACGACGGTAGCTATAATGAATATCGACATATTCCATGTATCGCAATTTCCAGGTCACCATCCAGAAGCTTGCAGACATGGGCCTTAGACGAGTTGCCCGGGACTCAAGTTGAGCGCCTAGTGCCATGAACCACAGGATAAGCTGTTTATGCAACAGTATGGGTTCGTCTTTGAAGTCCCCAACCATCAAAATCAGGATCCAAGCATGTTGAATTAAGTTTGCTAAGTACCTGCATATCTTGCTCGTCGGATGTCGAGTGCGCGCGATAGCGTATGGGCCATGACAGGTCTGGCGAGTACCGTTCAGCTGCACACGGCTATAACGGGTTCTTCATTTCCATGTGCTTAAGTTTGGCCAATTGCCGTGCAACCTTTGAGCTGGGCAAGGGTTTTGACTTTTGACGGGGCAGCAGCTTGTGGATGCATTAGAGGTAGTTTTGCAAGGAAAACAACTCACACAGGCATGGGAGCTTTTGACGGGTCTCTTGAGGATTCAGTTTGGGCTTTATGTGCATCACACGTAATTGAGGGTACACGGCAGTCATGTTCCGCCCGGGAGGTGACGTAACATGAGCTGTAACATGAGCTGTGTAGAATGCCGGCTGCCCTTACTGGCTGAGACTCTGAGTCTAATAGGGGCGATGACGCTAAGGCCGCTAACGTTACTAAGCAATGAAAGATGCAGCATGATTTACATGAGCACTTCCGTTACCATGAGCTCCATCTTGTGTTGGGAGAGTGTGGGGCTCCAATGTGGCATTAACATATTGCTGCAATGCCCCGGCTGCCCCTTGTCGTGTCAGGCGCGGACGATGCCCAACACACCTGCACTGGTTGGCCTGGGGGCATCAGCCTATGTGGCTCCAGCATGTTTTCGGGGTGTTGGTCTGGACAGTGTAGGGACTGTGCAATGATGATACGTGCTTGTTATTATTACCATTATTATTGCTGTTATATTACTATTTATTAGTATTGTTGTTATTACTATTGCTATATTACTGTTGTGGTTGTGGATTGCATAGGAATGGATTCGAGGTTTGAATCAGGAGAGATCTATGGGCTTGCATTGTTGCTGCTGTGCATTCTTCAGAATGTGTGGTTCCAAACCGCCTTTCACAGCGACAAGCCATCACACCGTACTTCAATATGTGTAACAAGAAAGCTTTGTCCAGTCCCATATTACAGCAATGTCACCCCCTGCTAATGTAATCTTACTTCTGACTAGCGCCCGCCCAGTGCCAGGTCCTCGGTCCAGGTGCTCAGCCAGCGGACGCCACAACCGTGGAGAGGGCGGGGGTCTCGAGGAGTAACACTGATATTGCTGCAGGGTTCCCTTTGGGTCGTCCTGGCAGAGTCTTCGCAATAAGGATGCTCGTGCATGAACGGATCTTACGAGATGTGGATGTATCAGTATGACTTTTTGGCACTATGGCTCCCGTGCAGGGTGTCCGGTCACTTTATGAGTGTGAGCAATCCTTTGCACGTGTTCTTGCGGGAACTTGTCTTAGCTCGAACCAGGGCCCCTCTGAGATCAGTTGTCGCGTTGACAGGAAAGCAGGAACGGATTTTTTCCAGTTCTCGAATCAGCTTGATGGTATGCTTGATGGGAAGCTAGTAGGAAGGAATCCCTCGTATACAACATGGAGCATTCCGGGAACTTGCGCACATACGCAGATGCTGGGAGTTATGTGGGGTTGGGTTCCGGTAGAGGATTGCACTATCAATGAAGGAAGGTAACCTTTGCAAGGAGCGGGGGGGGGGTTGGAATATCAAGCTCCAAGATCTCACTTCCTGCTAGGGTGCCTGAAGCAGAGAACTCAGGTGATGTCAGCAGTCGGCGTGTGCGAGAAGTTGGGTGATGAGAAGCTTCTGGAGACCGGGGATTGACGAAACAGTGGATAGTTCTTGCATCATGTAGTAGAAGCCTGAATCTGTGCAAATGTCTAGAATCTCTTGGGGATCTCCGAAGCCTCTGCCGCCGGACAAAGCGTTGCAAGCCAGAATGAACCTGATAGTAGCAGCCATCGTTCCATCATTGTCTCTTGCTCTCATTGAGTGACGAAGACAACCAGTAATTGGCATCGAGACTTCGCCCCTTGTCCAGCTGGCGCAGAGACAATAAGGAGCTCGTGTATCCGTGCCCTGCCTTGAAACCCATCGATGGTCATAGGGCATGAATGAGCATGGCAGGATGCAGTCACGGGTGTCTCTGGCAGTGGTCCAGCCTATGTGTTGGGGTGCCCAGTTTCTGGCGTTTGTGAGGTTTGGTCTCATCATCGCCATAGCAACAGCAAAGACAAGAGTAGTACTAGGAGTATGACAGGGGCATACGTATGATAGATAGCCGTTCAACTGGTCGCATGACAAGTAGCAGATGGTGATAATGACAGTAGCAGCAAAAAGTGTAGCAGAACTCCACATAGCTTGAAGATGACATGCTCATGATGGTGATGATGATGAATCGATCCAAACTTCCCAATAATTGTCACAGTGCGTGTATAGTAGCATGGTTGATCTTTCAAAACTTGCCATGGCTATGTGAGACCACAGCTCAAGTTGAATAGATGCAGGCTTGTCCTGGTTCAGAACTTGGTCGGGATAAGATAGCCTGCTCTTGATTCCGGCTTATTAGCAAGAATGCCTAGCGTACGCGAACATGATGAGATCAGCTGCATCATGACTGATAGTCCCTCAGTCCCCATTGCAATGTTTACTACTATTCTGTTTACGCCCGTGTCTATCGCGATAGGATCCTTGGAGAATGATCCTGTCATTGTTCAATCTCCAAAGCACCCAGGTACATGATGATAGAGGCTATGGCAGATGGTGGTGTCGGAAGCTGAGCACAGACTTGAAAGTCTTAAGATGCTGCAGGGTCTGGATTAGACTTGGATCCCTTCAGGATTTTTCGTTGGGATGACATAGAGACCTGTAGGAAGGTTATGGCGATTCTGCGGCTACATGCTGTGTAATCCTTGGAGCCTATTCGAGCAAGATTCTTGTACTTGGCGCTACTGCTAAGGAGGGGCACGGAATTTCGGCAAACATCCCTTGATGCTGGTTTCCAAGAGGTCATGATGAACGTGTGCAGGACAAACATAGAGGGAGTCGAGAGTCTTGATGAACCTCCGTACTCAACACCCCAATGTGTGCGGAGAGCCCCACTTTTGGAAAGCTCACGAAAACCATTTTCTCTCATCCCTACGCTAGTCGTCTGGCTAGCAGACACTCACCGTATCTGAGCGCGAACGCAGATAATTAGTAATGTGCATAAGCTCACTGCAACATGATTTTGACATAGCCGCTAGAACGCCTTGTCATTGCCATTTTATCCCTACAGTATCCAAACGTAATCCGATCCCAAATAGATCCCTTAAAGTACCGCTAGATAGCTTCGATGTAACCTGTTATGCAACGGGATCCCTGCCTTCAACCCTGAACCCCAGACCCTATAAACCCCACACTCTAAATCTAAACTCTGGAAGATTGCCCTGGTCAGGTCAAGAACGGACTCCCGCGCGACGTGTCACTGAAGCTGGCCGCGCAAACGGCCCCCAGCCCAGAGTGACAAACCACTTGGTTCTTCATGAAATGGAAGCTATTATAAGATATAAGGTATATGGGGGAATAAAGGAGTGCATAATTAGTGGGTCTGGCTACACACAAACATGGGCTCAGCACCACAGCAATGATCCTGCTTCTCAAGCCCACTCAACCACTTTCTGAAGTACCAAGCAGGAACCATTATTTCGTCTCTACAGGCACTGCGCATCGTTTTGGTATTGCAGTTAGGATTCGACAGGTAGTTTCGCGGAATTCCAGTGTCTGTGGAGTAAGTTGGGGTTATCGTTACTTTAAATCTACATAGAGCAGCTTCAACTAGGTCGAACAACGCAGTCTAACACGGTAGGCAACTTGAAAGGGTAGCTACAAGGGCTCACATCATGCCGAGGACCTCCAACATGAATCCTCATCTCGTGTTTTCCAATACCTTGGAACTGTATATCCTGTTCAGCCATAAGAAAAGCCAACCTTCATGGACGTGGCACCAGTGTGTACGCGCAGTCACTACCCAGCTTCTCAATGCTTCAGGCTTCCAAGTGCCTGTGATCAAACATGCGTGGCCGCATTATAGACATGAACATGATCAAGCTAGTGCTTAGGGGTGATATGACTGGGATAATATGCAGATGGCGCAGGACTTCTCTGGGCTTGGCATCTTCTCAGACTATGCATGCAGTAGCTGAAATACGTCAAGGTTTCAGGAAGAAGGCCTTCAAACAATCATGAAGCATAACTTCCAACATTCAGGGAAAGAAGCGCAACCATATTCCTATTGCTACTAGAAGTACTACTGTTAAAGCTAATGCCACTATTCCTAATACGATTACCACTCTTGTTCTTACCACTACTATCGCTATTCCCATTTCTCTTACTCTTCCTGGTATGATTGCTGCCTGTGCAAGAGATGACGAGGTTCTCGGCGCGGCGAAAATGACCATGACAGGTGACAAGCAGCTGGGACGCAAGCCTTTGGCCCCCAAAATGCTTTGAACCCTCTGCGGGATGCGTAGGGAATAATGCAGGCTGGTTACTGCGTGCCCTTTTGCCCGCTGAGGTGCTGTTTTTTTCTGCAGCTGGCAATTTGTCAACATCATGTCCGCTATGGGCCTTCAAAGTAGTCCCATCTACTTACAGGTGAGTCCAAGCCTCAGGCATCCTGCCCAGCTCCGCAATGCTGTGGAATCGCCTGGCGGCACCACAATTGCAGGCCATGTTGGGCTTCAGACTTAGGAGATGTTTTGCATTTTCGTGGATGTCTTGTTCGTCTCCACCCCCAACAAGTTTTAGTTGGTTCGGATACCTGCTACTCGTGGAGGGGCCAAAAGGTCTCTGTCCAACTGTCATCCGAATTAACTAGCTTCACTACTATGATCGGATTTCGGGTGCTTTTGGTGTCGTGCTGCCTGCAGACTTGTGTTTGGGTTCTGCATACGGTGGCCAGGGACCACGACTCTTGAAGCAACTGGTTTCCGGAATGCCGTGATCTCGGCAGTGACGGCCGCGAAGGCGGACGTGGAGTAAGTTCAAAACTTTTGAGACCCCTCAGGATGTACAAATAACCTGCGAAGTACAGGGATGGGGAAACTACTCATGTGCATGGCCCAGCTCTGCTATGTTTTTGGATAAGAGGTGTGACTGACGACAAGACGCTTCAGACTGCTTAGTGGCTTAGTGGTCGTGGGTGACACGCTGAGACCTTCACCGTTTTTTGTTACTGTCAGTCAGCTCTAGTTTTGATTCAACAGGCAAGGTCTAGAACATCATCAAAAAAAGGTCACTGTTCCGGCTTTGGGCAACAGAGGCGAATGAAGTAGGAGCTGCTTGTTTGTTTCGAGGCAGGCGAGTGGTTTATTTGAAGGTGAGGTCAGACTGGCCTTGATTTATCAACTTCGCATGACGGCAGAGGTGTTTGCACACCCCGCGTAGCAAGAATGCAACAGGGTCTGTCAAATTGCCCAGACCATGCTGGCAGGCTTGTAATCTGAATCCCACGCCTGCGCACGCTTTGGGGCATGGGTGTGAGTTTTTGGCTATGTGAGGTCAGCCCACCTTTTGACCCTTCCCATGGCTAGCCCGCTGAGTGTTCTTGACTCCTCGCATCATGAAAACACCAGCAGGTGATTCGCTGTAAATTTGTGGAGCCCTGGGATAGTATAAAAAGGAGGCGAGTAGCACACGCATGTTCTCAGCAGGAACAGGGATTCTACTGAAAGTTGATTGACATATTCTTTTGGAATGGGTTCCTATACCACCTGCAGGTCGAAGATTAACAACTCTAACCGCAAGCCGAAAGTGGATCTGGTGTTGCAGGATCGCGCTACAGAGCTGGGAAAGATCTGAGCTCTATACCAAGGCCCGAAGTCTGAATACATTTGTTTCTAGAGTAGTTTGGTAGTAATATTAGTAGGAATTTTTACAGTAGCATTAATAATAGCGATAGGAACACTGGCAATAGCAGTAGGGTTCTTGTTTCTATGTAGCCAGGGCTCAGGCGCTATTGTCGCTGGACTAGAAGGGCATGCTCGCGTCTTTCGGATTATTCTCTAGAAAAGTTTGATTCTCTAGCAAGGAGATGGGGCCTGACAATTTAACGTATCTTAACTCAATGGTAGTGCTTTGCATTTTCCATGTTCTTGTCCACTTGATTCTCGCTTAGTTATTGGTGCATATCCTGAAATACCCCTACAGTATCCACATATACCCCTATGTTGTTGGCCTGACTATCCCTCTATATCCCTGCAAGGTCCCTAGAGATATCTTCTAGAAATCCAGGCTTTCCTCGTACGGCCCCGCCAAACACATTACCTGGGCATTTGCGAGAACGTTTAGCAGATTCCCTGTAAGATCTTGTGTAGCGGTGTAGCGTCATGAAAGTCTATACCCCTACAAATCCTATAGAAGTATAACATAATGCCCAAAACCTATTCTGATGATTTAGGCCTTTACACTGGAGTGGTCTTGGGATTACTAACAACCTTGGCCTTGGCCTGCATTGCCGTAACGCAGGAGATGACGGCTGCTGCACGTCCCAGATCAAGCATCTCTTTATTTGGGTCGTATTTGAGCACGAGTCTGCTGAGTTGCGGAAACTACAGAGGAAGTTTCAGCATCATTGTTGCCTACAGTACCGGCAAGGAGGATTTGCCGACAGCAAAGTGCCAACTTCGACCCGCTGATTTCAAGGCCACTCTTGGGCACAGCTCCCTGCGGGGAGGGCCAACCATAGGGAGCTCTGGAGAGGCATCATCTATCTAAGAAGACGCATGGGCCCCTAATGTGAGCCTTTAGCCCTGTGAAAGGGATTCTAGAGACGCTGAAGGCTACATATAGCGTGTACATATATTTGTTTTATTTATTTATTTAGCAGGTTCTAGCAAAGGTTTAGCCAGCTTGGTAGGTGTAACAAAGACTTGGAGACGGGGAAGAATGATCAGATGCCAATGGGATAGCCTGCAGAAGTGTAGCAATCCTAGTAGCAGGAAGAGGAGGTGGAGCAGGAGGGTAAGGAGTGGCTTGGGAGTAGAAGTAGAACCGGGAGACGGAGGGGAGAGAAAGAGCAAGAGACAGAGAGAGAGACATAGCAGTTCCAGTGGCCACGCACTCCGGTCCTCCTGGGCACCGACCATTGGAGTGACCGCGGGGCTCGGGTCCGCCTCGGCGAGGCCTTAGGGTCTCGCAAAGCCCGTAGAAGAAGAAGAAGAGACATAGCAGTGCGGGTGAAAGAAAGAAAGGAAGAAAGATGTTAAAAAGAAAGAAAGAACCGTTCGGGGCCTTTTCGACTATGACATAAAGTAGCAGCAGAGGGAGGTACTTTTACCGCTTGCCTTGTGAGGTGCCTCTTTCCCTATACAATCCATGCAATCCATCCCGTCACCGCTGCAAAGAGCGGCGAGCTCATCCGTTCCTGCGGAAAAGCTGCTGGCGCAAGGCTGTCGGGTTTTCTGGGGCTCTTCTTATCCGTATTTCTGTTGGGTAGCAGCGCGAGCAAACTGAGCAAACTGGCACGTGGAGGATCATGCTTGCTATGCTTGTGATAGCAGGTCATAGCAGATGGGTAAAGTGGCGTCACACTTTTCGTTCCCCAAATTTGGTATAGAACAAGTTGTGCATGAGACTTTCCAATCAGCTATGCCTATAGTGTCAACATAGCAGTGCTCTTCATGAGTGCTTATGACCTTCCCTCTATGGGTGAGTCCATCTCCCGCTGTACACCGTGTCAACTTGCATGGCGGTAGCCCTAGCGGCTCAAAAGGCAAAATGCAAGGCAGGGTTCACCTCAAGAGGCACTCCAGGCTTAACGCAAAGCTACTTGACTTTAATAAGGCTTATGTGCATCTATTTATCCTAGCACGTTCTTGACTGCATAGCAACTCTTATGGCTGAGATCACGTTGTGTTTCCTCACTAGCATAGATGGGCACCGGCGTAGTATTTGCTGAATGGCAAGATCTGAAGGCAGTTCTTTGGCACGGCGCCTCTGCTGGTGACTCATAGACACTGACAGACGTCCGGTCTGAGAGAGTATCGGTCGTTCGGGTTGAAGTTGGTGGATCCACGGTTATCATTGGTGCCTTGAGCATGGCTACAGTTGTAATTCCAAGGCAGATAAGCATAAACGCCATACGTTTTTTCTAAGCTTAGACGTATGCCCCCCAAATATGGGTTTGGGGGGCCTTTACGGGTACATATTGGTTATATAGTGAGTATATAAGGATTCAGGGCTAAGGGCCCCTACTAGGCCCATTGTTTCAACCTTAGATTTTGGCACAGAACTTGCTTTTTGTTGTTTCATGTGCCTTCATCTTTTCTGAAAGGCCTCAAACGCACTGGCCGTTTCCCAAAATTAATTGCCCATTTTGGAGGGGCCCAAAAAAAGGTCCAATGGTGTGCATGAGGGAACCCTTCTTCCAAGACAGAATTAGGGGTACCATTTTGGGGGTCCCCAAAGTAAGGATCATAGCATTTTGGGGCCTAGGTTGGGTCCCCAGATTTAGGAAACTACGAAGTAGAAGCACTAACAACCAACAGGCGAGCAGCAGCAGCAGCAGCAGCGAGCATGATCTTTTGCCCTGATCACACGAGTTACTGTCAATGCAGAAGTGATGGGGGCTTGAAAC